GAGGAGCTTTGGTGGATAAAACTCTTGAGGGCGCGAGGAATTTGATTGCAAACATGGTAGCCAACTCTCAACAATTTGGCACTAGACTCTACACTCCTTCTAGAAATGTTAATAAGGTAAATGTTTCATCTCTTGAACAACAACTTGCAAGTTTAACTTCTCTTGTTCGTCAAATGGCTGCAGGTAATATGCAAACGACGAAAGCATGCGGAATTTGTTCGGTGGCAAGACATCTAACTGACATGTGCCCAACTCTTCAAGAAGATGAACAAGTTAATGCAGTAGGCAGCTTTCCTAGACAACCACAAAGGAATTATAATCCTTGCTCGAACACTTACAATCCATGATAGAGGGATAATCCTAATCTTAGCTATGAGAATCAACAAGTGAATTAACCAAACTTCTAGCAATACAGGCAGCCATATCCTCCTAGACAACAACATGACCAAACTTTAAGTTCTAGTATATCTCTAGAGAATATTGTTAAGTCTTTGGCCACTAACACTTTACAATTTCAGTGGGAAACAAAACAATTCCAAAAGGAGGCAAGGCAAGTATTAAAAGTTTGGAGAATCAAATGGGTCAAATGGAAACCACAATCAACAGGCTGGAAGCACAAGATTCGGGAAAATTATCCTCTCAAACAATGGTCAATCAAAGGGAAAATGTAAGTGCAATCTTGTTGAGGAGTGGTAAGGAAGTTGAAATTCCAAGGGCAGCACCTACATCATTGGAACAGGAAAAGGAGAAAGATGTCCTTGAAGAAAAGAGTGTTCCTAACGACAATGGCATACCTAAGTGTAAGTTTCCATCCCTTTCTGAGTATAAATTGACACCCCCTTTTCCTCAAGCTTTAGTAGAACCCAAGAAAGATTAACATAATCAAGAACTTTATGAAACTTTTCTTAAATGTGAGGTAAATATTCCATTGTTGGATGCTATTAAACAAGTATCTCGTTATGCTAAGTTTTTGAAGGAATTGTGTACCCTTAAGAGAAAAAAGAAACTTAAAAGGTGTGAAAAATAAACGTAGGGGAAACTGTTTCTGCAATCATTCAAAGAAATCTCCCTACAAAATGCAAAGATCCAGGTATGTTTAGCATCCCTTGCACGATAGTTAACACTAGGTTTGAAAGGGCCATGTTAGATTCAGGAGCTTCTATTAATGTCATGTTATACTTTGTATACGCTTCTTTAAAACTTGGACCTTTGAATGAAACTGGTGTCATAATTTAACTACCTGATTTATCCAATGCCTATCCTAAGGGTGTAGTTGAGGATGTTCTCGTGAAAATTAATGATTTGATTTTTCCTGTTGATTTCTATTTGCTTGATATGGGATATAGTGATCAAATTATCCCCATTTTGCTAGGAAGACCATTCTTAAGGACATCCGAAACTAAAATAGATTTTTATAGTGGCATGCTTACTATGGAATTTGATGATAAAATCAGTGAATTTAACATTTATGATGCTATAAAATATCCTGATGAAACTGGCCCTGTTTATTCTATTAAAGTGATTGATAATTTAAAATAGAAAGTTTTAGAACCTGATGAAAACAATACAGTGAAAGTTGCCATTGATAAGTATATTGAGGATGTGAATCAGGAGTTACCCTCGAATACTGCCTTGCAGGAAACCATTGTGGCTTTGAACGCTTTTCCAAAGTCACCAAAGTCGAGTAAAAGTTCGCATATTATTTTGCCAATTGCTAACGAGAAGCCTTTCTATACAGGTTTCCAAATGGATGACGTGAGAACATGGGACCTTGGGAACCCAATTGATACCGGTTGAGGAAGGAAGCAATAAGTCTAGCCAAAGACAATAAACAAAGGCGCTGTTTGGAAGACAACCCAAGAGGAGTTCGTCCCTTTACTTCTTATTTTTCTTTTCGTTTTCATATTTGCATTCATATTTTAGTTAAATTTGTTCTCTTCTTGACATTTTACTTTACATTGGGGACAATGTAAATTTTAAGTGTGGGGGAGGGAATTTAGGTTGAGTCTAAAATTTTCAATTCGTATTTTTATGTTTATTTTTGATTGTTTGATAAAACTTCGACATGAGGGGGGAGAAAACAAAGTGGTTTTGAACGATTTTAGTTGTGTATGCTATTTGCTAGATTCAATTAAGTTTCTGAAGAATTCATAACATAATTAAATAAGTAATCTCCCAACATAGAGTTAATTAGTGTGGCTATTTTCTTTGAGGATGGTAGTAATTAGATTTTGTAGACAAAAAGCCATTGAGATTTTGAGCCTTATGACTGAGACATACATATCGGTCTTACTATTTCTTTCATGAGTGATTTTCTTCTATGGATTTGCTTCTCTAGAATTTGCCTTGATTCTCTTCGAGGCCATATTGATACATGCATGCATGAACACGATTAAGACCATCTTTGTCATGTAAGTTAACCACCTAAGCCACATAGCCTACCCTGCAGTTAATTTTACCCGTTGATGAACCCTTTTGAGCCTTATCGCCATACCTTTTGTAAACCCACATTACGAGCCTTAAATCCATAAAACCAGTATTCTTTATCCAATCCATGAAGTTAGTGGAGTATTGTTCATCATTTTGAAGTGTGGGTGTGCAAAAGAAATAAGTGTGGGGGTGTATGAATCTATGGTAAGACTACAATTGGTGGAATGGAACATATTATTCAATTTCAATTCATAAGTTCCATTATTAGTACAATGTTTTGAGTTGAAAAAAAAAAGAGAATGAAAAAGAGAAAAGAAAAAAAGTGAAGGAGAATGATTTTCAATGTTCCATAATTACTCTATGTTCATGATTCCTCCTAGAATCACAAGAAAATGATTGGGTTGTGTGAAAAAGATGCAAAGAAGCTGTGAGTGGAAAGACTTGTTCTTAAATGTTTTATGTATATATTTGAGCTTAGGTAATTCATCTTTACTCTACTAGTTTCTATGGCTTTTGAGTTACTTACCTAAATATCTCACACCTGGACCCTAGCGCACGTTACAACCTATGAAAAAGACCTTATGATTTGTGTAATGTATGTGATTTAATTGGTGGAGAATGAGAAGATGTGCAAGCATATGGTAGGACACTTCCATTGGAATGAATTTGGCGAAACACTTACCCTTCAAACATATGAGAGTTGAGCTCTTACTCCTGTGAGGGTCTACATGTTTAGTTCATCCATCTTTATTTGAGAATGCTTGCTAATTAATTATAAGTTGTGTGAGAATGTTTATCCATGAATTGTTGTGTGTTTTGAAGAGTTTGATTGTTCTATGTATGTGGCATTGCAACCTTATGAAAGGGAGTTAAGTTTTACTCGAGGACAAGCAAAAGCTAAGTGTGGGAAAATTTGATAAGACATGAAATATCGTGATTCACATCCATTAATTCCTACACTTTTATGACTAATTAATACCTAAATGTGCTAAATACCCTTATATTGTGATTTATATTGTATTTGGATGATTATGGCATAAAATAGAAGAAAAGAGCGAATAAGGACTTAAATGGAAAAAAATAAAAGTTCAAGGGCCAAGTTGCAAACAATCCCTAGACGAGACGAGTAAATATGTTGCGGGTTCAATTGGGCACAACTAGAAGTTCAAGGTTTGAAATTCCAAGAGAAACGATTTAAAAGAATAAAAAATTGAATTCGGGACTAAAATACAACTTTTGGAAGAAATTTTGCGTAGGCAACAGCCTAGTTTAAAATCCGGGCTACCGCCCAACGTCAAAAGCCACACCTGGGCGGCTGCCCGAGATAGCCTAGGTCAATTGCGGCGGGAAAAATCTGGTTTCCTTTTCTGATTGAAATTCTTATGGAAACAAATCTTGGGGAGTCTTTTAAAACCCTAGGGATATAAAAAAGGAGGATACCACTTATTATACCTGATTCAAAAGGATTTTTCTCTCTTTCTGCTTAAGCATTATTGATGTATTGCGAAATTTCATCTCTTGGTCGAAGGAAATTGAAACCTAGGAATTATTCAAATTGTGAGATCTAAATAAATTTCATTGTTTTCATTCATATTTTATGTATTGAGTATTCTTCTATGCATAATTTTGTGGTCGTTGTATTTGAATTCTAAGAGGCCTATTACTTCAATCGATTGCTTGTTTAAAGAACAAATACGTAATGGTTTTATATCTTTGACATATGAAGCAACTGTAGTTTGATTAACCGCTGCTTTAGAGGTTATTAAATTCTAGGGAGGATATTTGACTAGATAAAATATGTCTGCTTGTGATTGTGTGGTTTAGTTTTCTCGATTTCTCTAGTTTCCCATACTATTATTAAAATAAATTTTAAGTGCTTTTCTTGGGTTATTTGATAATAAGGATTGATTGGATCGCTTGTTTTCTGATTAATTACAACTAAGAAGAAATACGAAATATAAATTCCAACGATGAATGCTAAAAATATGAATTGGTAATTAGTTATGGATCTATGATCAATTTGGAATTTCTACGGTGGATATTGACTTAGACCAATGTTTGTTCTATTGATTTAATCCAATTTATTAATTTGCATTGCTTTCAGTTAGAATTGATTTCATCACAAACAAAACCCCTGTTATTGTTAACATTGCATAAAACTAGACTAATCACTCTTCGTGGGAGAACGATCCTTAGTTCTAGTACTGCATACATTTTTTGGAAGTGTAGGTTTTATTATTTTTGGGTGCCTGCAACAGTACGCCATATCCGAATGTTTTGATTCAATATTAGTTATTAGCCATGGGTTTATAGGTTATTGGTTGCTCCCTCCTTTTTTCAATTTGTTTCGTTTGGGAATGCCCGATATAATTGTATATGCACTTGATTTTGAGTTGTAAGCCCCTGAATGCTCAGCGTATTTCTATATGATTTTGATGAATATAATTCACATTTATTCATAAAAAAAAATAAAAAATCTCTATTTTAAAATATGGCACTCCATGAAAAACGTTGAGAAAGGTGCTCAAAATATGTATCTGTCTTTTAACGAGGCAGGGGGACCAAAGGTA